CTGGAAAGTGCTTTTAAATAACTTTTAATTATTGAATGTAATGGTTAACCTACAGATCTTAATTTAATTTTCATTTTGGCCAAGTAAAATGCACTATAATGGCTCGGGAGAGCTATGATAAAATTAACTAGGTTATTCACATTGAACTATGGGTATATGTTGATATGCCTTGTAGGAAGATGCAAATGTTAGGAAAATAAGCTTTGAGAGTTTAATTACAGGATTTATGAATTAAAATTGTTTTAATCAATCATCTTTTTGCACTCGAGAGAGGGTAAGAAGAGTGTTGCTCATATTTGTCGCTAGCCTATTTTATAATTTGCACTTAACATTTTCTATACTCCACTTACATCCTTACAAGGGATGTTATTTGTAGAACCTCATATTCATCAATTCAAACCACGTTAAGTAGGGTTTCTATAGGATTTACCCTTTACAGCTGCTTTTGATACTTTAAGATTAATTTGAATTAAGTGGTTTGAATTCACCTGACTTTAAGATTAATTCGAATTAAGTGGTTTGAATACACCTGAATACAGACTTGACCACAAACTAAATTCCAGGCTAGGAAAAAAAATCACTAAGCTAGAACTTTTTATAAGTCTAATTCCCTTGCTCCCTGTGGAATTGACATTCCAGACTCTAAAATTTGTATTACCGATAAGACACGTGCACTTATGTGAGGCCCCAATGTGTGGTTGCACCTGGAAGCGGTATCACCCCACATCCTCTAGCTTTTGTACTTCCTCTTAGATGGGTCCCGCCAATGTCATTGTCGAGTTTCTGATCTTCTGCTTCATAGTTTGGGGCAAGGGATTGACGTTCAATATGTGACACACGACATCAATTAGCACACAAGACATCTCAGCAGCTGTCCACGCGAAAACATCTCGATTTTCTTGGATGATTTGGATGAGCAGCTCCCTATGACCTGCATCAAAAGCTTCACTTATCAAAAACATCTACCTGGTTCTCCTTCAACTATCTAAACCTCACGAGATATTTCTTTGGCCTTGAGGATACCATCCCTCGCATTTTGGATGTCTAGAAAATCATGTTCCAATTTGCTTAGGCTCGCAAGTAGCAGACTTAGGAAAGCTCCCGTGATAATTTTCCATCTCCAGGAAATTTGACAGCAACATGGTAAGTAGAGACCATTGCTCTGAAACTATCAACAATTGTGGGATGAATATAACATTATACGTTAGGGGTGAATCCACCATGAGGAAATCTTCCATGAGTGTAAATTATTTCTCGTTTCTCCCCAACTTATCAGGAGCCTGAAAAATCCCAACGCTTATTTTCTTTCACATGACAATTGATTTAATGGACCAGCCGGCGTAGTAATCCAATTAACAATGAGGCTCAATTTATTGAATAGCTACTTAAATAGTAAATTCATAGAACTCCATGTATCAATGAGAGTGCTTCCTATTTGATAATCATTGATTATCATCATTTTTACAATAACATCCTTATATGGGTTTCCCTTTCGGGGGAGATCCTCATCTGTAAAGTAAGAGGTGGATGGCCCTTAATTTCTGTAGTAAATGTTGTGGTACAGAGTTCCCTCATTTGTTGTTTCTTTTGGTTCTCTCTCCTAGGTGGTTTGCTTTCTTCAAAGATTGTGGACACATATCCAATGATGTGGATGGCATTGGTGCAGATGAGCCAGCCTGATGTTCCTCCGTTGGGAGCTCTGCACTCCCTTTAGGTCGCAGCTCTAAGGGTGAAAAATTCTTTAACTTCCCCTCCTTTATCAGTTCTTCAATCATGCTTCACAAGTGTTTGCATTCTTATATGTCATACCCGCGATCTCTATAATGTGTACAATACTTCTGATTATCTTGAAGGAAAGCACCGACTCTCATCGGTTTTGCCTTCTTGAAGAATTCATTTTCGTGAATGACGTCCACTATTTCCTCGATGGATACCCTTAGTAGGGTTTCTTGAGTGAATCTGAGATTTTTTGGGGTTCATGACACTGAGACGATCGGGAGTATGGAGCATTCGTTTATCTCCTCCGATCCTTGTAACATAAGGTGTAGCTGTTACTAGGGGGACCTTCATAGTGGGGGCATATGGTCGGGCTTGCGCTTTGTTTGGTGGGCCTCCAGCTATCTTATGATGGCCTCTTCTAGTGTCTCTATTCGTTTAGTTCTGGGGCATTCTCATAAGCAGTGATGTACTTGTTGGCCATCTCTAACAGTTTGGCCAAGCTCTGCGGCTCTGCTAGCTGAAGTTCAAATGAAATCTCTTCGGGTTCACCTCTTATGTCAGTGTGGCCTAGGCCATATTAGACATCAAGTCCTTGGCGTACAACATATCACTCTAAAAGAATGTGATAAATGACCGAAATCTCTTGTTGGCTCCCTACTTCAATTGCCATAAAGACTAGAAACTCTTCTTAGGCCTAAGGGCACCGGAAAATTGCGATATGCAGAGTCTTCTGAACTCCACAAAATAGGTAATTACCATCATAGGCAATCCGTTGAACCTCCTTGATGTGATTGATCTCAACGTCATGAAGAAGAGCTTACTCTTGAGGACAACAGAAAATTTCAACAAGCATATGACGATTCGAACGACGCGAGGTGATCGTCAGGATCCATCCTTTATATGACTCTAAGATTGACATCTTAAAGTTCTTTAGAGGTTCAAATCTAGAAATCTATAGGGAAAAGGTATTTTTCAGTTGCCTCTGCACCTCGATCTGCACCAGTCAGTTTCTTTCCTCCACGAAGGCGGATCCGACAATGTCTTCGTATAGACCGTCGCCAGACTTTTCTTCAGGTGTATCACTCTCCTTACATTGTTGGTTGGTGGTTTCCCTTTTCCTCAGGTGTATCACCCTCCTTCCATTGTTGGTTGGTGGTTTCCCTTGATGGGGGTCGAGTTCTCCTTATCATGTTGGCTCTTCTCTCGGAACTGAGGCTACTGCTAGGGCAACGATCACTCTAAGTTCTTCTGCGAATTGTTCCGACATCTGGTTGGTGATCTAAATTCTCAAATCTTGCAGGCCTTATTGAACGAATTCTTCCAAAAAATCTCTGGTGCATGCTGCTTCTACTACATTCCTCTGACTGAACTCTCCCTATTGTTGATGTTGGATTTCTCTTCTTGTCGACAACATGTTTCCACGCCCACCGCACCTTAAAGGATGTTAAATCCAAAAGTGTCCGGGAAACACATCTAAGGAATAAAACGTTATAATAAGAAGTGATTAGTGAGAGATAGAAAGAGAGGAGTAGTGAATAGTAAAAGAGAGTTTAACATTTATTCATGATATAAACCCTCTATTTATAGGCATGAGTCTCAATATTATAAAAGTACATATTGATCCCCTCATTATTGACTTTTCAGATTTGGTAATTACAGATTTATTAGCATATAATAAGACCAGATGACTTATTCGATTAATAATAGTTTGCCAACCGTCATGTAAGTCTTGACTTGATCAATATCTAATCCGAAAGAGAGCCTCTTATCGATAGTCCTGAGAGTTGATCCCTGCCCTGCGAAAAATCTCTTTGAACTTTTCAGTGATTGTTCGAACAAGACGCCACCCTTGCCAACATCTAGTTCAAGACGATCATCAACAACTATGTTCAATCGTCGGTATCATCCTCATGAGCAGTTCATCTGTCTTGATATTCATGCTGAGATATTTTTATATGTACACCAGCTAATCAATTTTTCTTTTTCTTATTAGCCTATTCTTTAGTTGGCCAACTAATTAGTTGTCTAGTTGATGGTTATTGATTTTGATTTATCAAATGAGTCAATACATTTATGTGGTTTCCACGGAGATAATGTTATAAATTCACATGATATTCTCATATGATATTTTCAAATTGAAGATGACTTTTTGGTATGTATATAATCTCTGAAAAAAATAAAATTAAAAATGGGCCACTCTCGAGAAATTTATTTTCAAGAGGTGCGCAAGTCAAGTCTCTCTTGATGAATGAAATTAAACTATCCAAAAAAATTACCGGGAAAAATGCCCCATCACGATAAATGTAATGGTAATGCTAATTGACATTAATGTTAAGTTAGCTTAAACTCTCTTCTTTGGTATGCTTAAATCAACTAACTTCATGCTTAATGAAGTTTGTAAAAAAATTTGTTATGCTGAAGCTTCTCTGGCTAAAAAAAGCGCTAGTAGTTATCTGGTTTGATTTAAATCTTCTCTAATTAAACTGAACTCTATGGTTTACTATTATTGATGCAATTTTCAAGAAAATCATCATGTCATGGAGTCCTCATTCACAAACTCTCTGTGTTGCAGATTTCTTAATAATTTTTTTCTGCTAAACTAAGAATTACCTCGATTATTATTTCGCCATTATCTTTCAAATATCTTGTAATTCTCCTTTTCAAGATGTGAAATTTCTTTATAAATGAAGTACTAGTTTGTGTGGATAGAATCAACTAGCTCATTTTTGAGGAAAAAGAGCGACAAACTAACAACTTATACATTGATAAATAGAAACAAATGCTGTGATTCGAAGCTTGAGAAAGTTGAGGATTACCTTACTCAAGGCTGCGCTGCGAAACAAAGGCTTCAGGATTTCCCGAATTGGAGAGGATGTGAAGGATCAAAGATTGGGAGGTCATTATACAATAATTGCCGATGAGTCGATTTGGCGTCATTGCCTTGCCTTTCATGATAGCCTTGTGGCGGCAGTTGTAGCTCTAACACTTATCAATTAAACAGACCCAATCGAATGCAAACTACCGAATGCACACAACGACGCCAAGGCTGTTTTCCCAACGGTTGAGTGGCAGCGTGATAAGAAACTGAAAGGGTCTAGGGCTTGACTTCAAAGAGGAGGCAAATTGATTTTTGAGCAGGAGCAAAATAAAAAAGGGGCGCAATTAATACAATTTTTTCACATACTAATTTGAACACCAAAAGTATTTTTGAATGAGCTCAACACGCACAATGAACTGGGCTGTTTTATGGGGCTAGTCCTGACCGTATTCCATGTGCATGTTCGTTTGACCCGTGTTTCTGATACGTGTTAAAAGTAAGAGAGAGAGAGAGAGAGTGTGAGAGAGAGCCGAAGCGTGTGCTCAGCAGAGGGAGGGAGAGAAGGAAGAGCCCTAAGTCATGACGATCGCAGCTATGCGGCGGCTTCCATGCCACTTTTTCCGTTCTTCTCCTCCACTATCCTTCTTCGCCCGCTACTCCTTCTCCTCCGCCGCCTCCTCTTCCTCCTCTTCCTCGTCCGCCAAGGTCGCCGATCGCATCGTAAAGCTCTTCGCAATCGACCTCGATGGCAACAAGCGGGAGGTCCTGGGCTTGTCCGGTCAAACCCTTCTCAAAGCCCTCACCAACGTCGGCCTCATCGATCCTGCGTCGCATCGGCTAGAAGAGATCGACTCGTGTTCGGCAGAATGCGAGGTTCACATCGCGCAGGAGTGGCTCGAGAAGCTTCCGCCGCCGTCCTACGACGAACGCTACGTGCTCACTCGCAACTCTCGAAATCGCGTCCTTAACAAGCATGCAAGGCTTGGCTGTCAGGTCGTGCTTGACCACTTCCTCCAGGGCATGGTCGTAGCGATTCCCGAGCCCAAGCCATGGGACACCCCGTGATATAAATTGGGAAATCCTAGGGTTTCCATTCTGGTTTGTTCTATCCTGTTAATTATCTGGATTTGCTCGAAATAATATGGATAATCTGGAACTGATCAATCTTGATGTGCTTTTTTTTTATTTTATTTTTTAGTTGTGAGGAAATTAAGATGGAAAAATTTCATTTTCCCATTTTTCTATTGGGATCATTGTATTTATGCAAGTGGAACTTGCTTTCCTATGGGTTTCTGTTACGAGATCTATGTATCTTTTGCCTTTTCTGCCTTCTTAGGGACTTAACCAAGTAGAATTTTTACAATATGGTTTTGTATTCCTCCTACTTATTGATGCAGTACTGTTTCCTTTAGGATTTGGATTTCGCATTTTCTATCAAGACGTGGGTTGTTTCTCCTTTAAGTGTTGATCATAGACTTATCTTTAAGGTTTTTTTTTATTTGACCAATAGTGGTGGTTTTTATCCTCATTTTGGAATTGGTAATATGTGAGTCTTCTATATCTTCTCTTAAATAACCCCTTCATTAAGCTCATTCTACCACCTAAAAAAGGTGATAAAATAAAAGCAAATGAAGAGCAAATAACAAGCATGCCAGGCTTGGCTGTCAGGTCGTGCTTGACCACTACCTCCAGGGCATGGTCGTAGCAATTCCCGAGCCCAAGCCATGGGACACCCAGTGATATAAATTGGGAAATCCTAGGGTTTCTATTCTGGTTTGTTCTATCCTGTTAATTATCTGGATTTGCTCGAAATAATATGGATAATCTGGAACTGATCAATCTTGATGTGCTTTTTCTTTTTAATTTTTTAGTTGTGAGGAAATTATGATGGAAAAATTTCATTTTCCCATTTTTCTATTGGGATCATTGTATTTATGCAAGTGGAACTTGCTTTCCTATGGGTTTCTGTTACGAGATCTATGTATCTTTTGCCTTTTCTGCCTTCTTAGGGACTTAACCAAGTAGAATTTTTACAATATGGTTTTGTATTCCTCCTACTTATTGATGCAGTACTGTTTCCTTTAGGATTTGGATTTCGCATTTTCTATCAAGACGTGGGTTGTTTCTTTTTTAAGTGTTGATCATAGACTTATCTTTAAGGTTTTTTTTTATTTGACCAATAGTGGTGGTTTTTATCCTCATTTTGGAATTGGTAATATGTGAGTCTTCTATATCTTCTCTTAAATAACCCCTTCATTAAGCTCATTCTACCACCTAAAAAAGGTGATAAAATAAAAGCAAATGAAGAGCAAAAGAGGAAGGAATTAGAATAAAATATATGTGAACATAATAAAAGGGGGAGTGGGAAATGCTCATGGGGGTGGTCTTTATAGAGTTAATTGGAGACAAAAGCCCAAAGAGGATAGGACTAACTCGTTCCTTCTAAAACCCATGAATATTGCCTACATATAAGCAGTGAATCAAAATTTATTTTGTTATGTGTACATGCTTACCCTCAAGAGAATGCACTCCATTTGGTTAATTAAATCTTGAGAGTTCCCTAAGAATGTTTAGAGGAGGCTTGCTTGTGTTTTAAAAATCTATTATAGGAAATATGAAGGAATAATCATAATTTCAACAGGAGTCACTCTGTCTCAAAGCCAAACTAGGCCATAGAATGGTGAGTGAGCCACTGTATCCCAATGGGTGGAGGTCTATGAAATAATGTCAAGGGACATAACAAATAAATTGATAGGGCCCGAAGAGGTATATAAATGTTAGGTAAGGAGTTTCTAAGGTTGGTAGACATGATTCTGTTAAGATTTCATGGATTCATTCTCTTTAGTCATCATACTTTGAGCACATTTAGTTAGACAGGTAGTCGACTCAATGTAACCTAAAGTTCCTTGTCAATAACCCATGATTTGCACCGTCTAGGAGATTTTATGGACTCCAAGCTAGAGAAATAAATCAACCTAAAATCATAAGATTCTATACAGGTAGAAAGTGCTCCAACCTAGATAATGAAATCAACCTAAAATTAAGATTTTATCCATGTAGAAAAAGCAATGATAAGATTTATTCTAATAAAAATTGATAAGATGCCTCTGCAAAGAAAGAAATGAGTAAGTCTGACTACAAGGGTAGAACTTATTCTATAAGGACTTTTAATCTTGTTTGGTTCAGTATCACCTCTAAACACCTTAAGCGTTCTTAACCAAACGCCTAAATTTTGATCAATGTGATCAATTAGATAAGTGAAACAACTATATCTCTATGGGACATTATATGGTGAATGCAAAATATGCCTTTAATGTGGAGGTTCTATTAGTATAATCTGAGTTATGGCTGTACAATGTAAGTCATTTGAAATCCAATCATATGCTATGTAAGAATATAAAATTCTATTTACAAAATTTTGACACTTTACCCTATAAATTTTAGGATTAAAATTTTTCGAGTTATTAAAATTTTTCGAGTTATTAAAATTTTTAAGTTATTAAATTTTTTATAAAATAGATTTAATCCTAAGAGCCTACTCATATGCATGAGCCTATACAAAATCACAATCTAATATAAAATAATAAAAACAATACAGGTGCACAAATAAAGTAAAACACACCAAATTAAAGAACAATAAGGGTGTAGTTGGGCCAACAACATATCCCTATTTTATCATATTTTCATCTTTGATTATAAGCTTTTATTCTGTTATTGTATTATAGATTGCTTATCGATGAATCCAAGTCATTTAGTTGTATATTTATCACCATCTTACAATGCTGCAACTCTTTTTAAATTCATTTTTCTTCAACATATTTTGTTGGCTATTTGGTGATTTTTATATATACTTCTAGTTTTGCATCATCCTGTGAATATGTTATTCTTGCTGGCAACATTTCTTCAGACTCGAGGCATTGAATAGGCTAGTTGAAACTATTTGGTTGGTATGCGTCAAACATACAAAATAAAGTTCGTGGTTCACCTTCCCCTGGAGGTATATAAAATATTTTAGCTTCTATAAGTTATGAAGTTGTTATAGAGTAATTTCTTTGAAGTGATGGATAAAGGAATCGACATAAGAACAAATGAATCTTGATGTCAATAGATTGGTCATTCTTCTTGAAGAGATATATTGAACCCTATTTTCACTAGTAGATTCAAATTTATAGCCAACAACAACAACAAGTCTTTATGCCACTAAGTGAGATCTGCTCAAACTTATACTCAAGTCAGAATAATTTTCTTTATTATTTTACTTTTCTTTAGAGCTCACAAGTTCCCTTAGATTTGATAGGAGTATAATTCTTTTCTGTATCACTCTCTAAGTGCAGAAAGACCATCTTCAATGTAAGTGGAGCACCAATTGTTCAAGTAAAAATGAGGTTGTTTTATAGTCATAGAAGTAGATGCCATTGTTTTAGGGGTTTATGGTGGTTTGAGTTTATTATTCTTATGGCTACACAAAATATAGTGTCTCGCATTGGTGCCGGGACTCTGGTAACATGAGCATCTTTTTTTTTTTCTTTTGGGGTTATATATTTGATATTACACACATCAGTTCTTTTTATTTTTTGAATGGGTGTTGTTTTGAGTACTTTTGAGCAGATTTTTTCTTGCCTTTCTCACCGTATGACACTGATAATATAGATGTTCTTAGGAAAGTGACGTTTCACTGATTAGTTTTGCAAAATAAGTGCGTTGAATATGTTTTGTTATATCTGTTTTAACCATGGTTTGTGTTATGTAGTCGCCATTGCCGGTATCTTGTTCGTGTTTGATGGATTTCAGCCATCCAATAGATACGCAGGTCAATATATACCAAGAAAGCATCTGATGGGAGGTTAAAAGTTCAAATGAACACCAATAACATGAAATATTTTAGCTGCTCTATTTTCTGCGTTTTGATTGTTGAGTCAGATGATCCAGAGTTGTGTTATAGTTGAGTCATTTTTGGGATTGTTTTCTAAGCTTGGCTTTAATGAATAATTTCACTAGAATGTTCTGAATAGCATTTTTCTTTACTGAATCTCGTATGTTCTAGAATCAGAGCTAATTCTGTTCATGGGTTTTATGCATCCATAATTATCCTATTCGATATGCTGCTTACTTTCCTGGTAATACTGTTCATGCTAATCTCTATCTTTAATGAATCATTAGCTTTTCCACATTTTGCTCTTATGCTCATCTGTGTCCTACTGACAATATGCTTATTCGTTGATTTGCTGTTGGATTACTGTTGTTGTCTTACTGGAGTCGTGCTTCCAATTTGGAATAAAAAAGGGGGGGGATTAGTTTTAAATACAAGTTCTGATGCATTATTGAGGGGAATTTTCACTTGATAAAATTTTTAGATTTTATGTTTGCTCCAGTTTGCTTAAACTGAAAGAAATGCTTGGGGTCTATTGTGTGATAGAAAATTACCGCTTAAACTGAAAGGAAAATTTTATAAGACGGCTTTTATAAGATGGTGCTGAGACTAGCAATGCTCTATGGCGCTGAATGTTGGCCTTTAAAAGAAAAGCATAAAAAAAATAATTTTTGCTTAGGTGGATGAGTGGCTTGGCACTTAGAGACAAAATGCAATGAATATATCTATGATAGGGTTGGTGTAGCTTCAGTGGCGGACAAGATTAGAGAGAATCATTTTAGATGGTTTGGTCACATTAAATGTCAATCATCTGATGCTCCGATTAAGAGAGTGAATGTTTGTGTTTTAGCTTCGACTGATTTTATAAAAGGCAGGGATAGATCTAAGAAGTCTTGGGCATCTTGTATAAAAATTGATTTTAATCTATTAGAACTAAATGAAAATATGACACTCAATAGGAAGCAATAGAGAAAAAGGATTCATGTAACTGACCCCACTTAGTGGGATAAAGGCTTGTTGTTGTTGTTGTATGTTTGGTCCACTTTGCGTGGTTGGGCGTGAATTCTTTGTAGGGTGGTGCTGTTTTGACTGTCAAAATTTAGAGGCTGTCCTGTATCTGGCTTGAATTTTTCTCTATTTAGTGTAATCTTCCCCTTTTCCTTTTTTTTTTCTCTAAATGAATATTTAGTTATTGCGGTTTCCAATGTCCCTATTTTTTTCAAATTTACTGCAGCTATGTTTTCGAATACATTGTAAAACTTCAATTTCTTGTTGATTTATTTTAACTCATCGTAAGTTTTGCTTCATTTTTATGTATTTGGAAGATTACACCTAAAGGAAGTGAATTTTAGTGTATTAGTGCTCTTTCGTTATGCAAATCCCAACCTTTTCTTTGTGATGTATATTAATTCCATCATCCTAATTGTGTTTTGAACGTTAAACCTTAGATTTCATGCTTC